CTAAGCTGAGGAGGTCTGGTGCCTTTTCATTAGGCAATTGGCATGCACTGCATAACAAATCAATATGCTCAGAAGATCAAACCTTTGTTTCCTCTGTCATTGTATCTTTCATCCTCCACACCTTCCAGGTCTGAACCCAAAGTACTGGACTGGCCTGAATCAGGTCTGGCCTACAATGTTGACTATTCATGTGACTCTAACTAGTTCCCAAAATCTTTGGCTTTTTATGGCAGTCACATGCATTCTCCTCTTCTTCCTTCCATCCCCTACCCCAACACCATCTCTTACTGATATGTTATTCAAGATGGTTTGGGGATGAGTTGGCCATACCTTCTTTTGCCTCAGTCATGCCAGTATGGTTGCAGACTTGGTCAGCTTCTAAGGTCCATTCTCCACAGTTACTTCCTCCCTCACACCCCAACTTCCATAAGAGGTGACATTAGGCTTCTTAGAATATCCTTGAAAGGGTAAGCTAACCAATTCAAGGGACTGGAATCCTATAGTGGTTCCCATAACTACAGAATGTCCAGTAGCTCTGCTTCAGCCCCAGTTTCCAAATATCTTTGATGATAGGACAAAACAGGCATGTTGTCGACAGATGGACACCCCCTACAGCTAAACTGAATCTGTGTTGTGAGGTCAGCAAAATCTACATTCTTTACAACTCCTTCTAATATACCTTCTTTTCCCTGGTGTGTGTCTGTCAGAAGTCAGTGGATCCTGACTATTAGAGGTCAGGACTCCTTGATATTCTCAGCCAACACTCTGCTTTGGTCTCCATGGAGATAGGATTGGTAGGTGAGAGCATACAGGATCATGAAATTGAAAGGAAATGGAGAGGTCTGTTCAAGTGTTCTCCAGCGTTATTGATGTAATTGCTTCACATTACTAATCAGAAAGATAATTAACCTGCCACAGTTTCAGTCATTTACTTGGGAACTTTTATTGTACCCATAGAAAGGAAAATCTGCTTATGGCCAGAGCTAGAGATTGGTGGAGTTCCCTTCACGTTTTACTTATACGTCCTGAAATTAAATGAGCAACTCTGAGAAATACTCTGGATTTTATTAAAGCTGGATGTATTTTAATTCATTCCCTATACCAACCAATGCTCATAGGGCTCTCTAGATCTCTATTAGCAGGGACATGGTGGATGTACATTGATAGGGGAAGAGGAAAGTTGGAAACATCACTTTCAAAAAAGAAGAAGAAGTTCCAAGACAGTTCATAGCATCAGAGATCCAGCTGGAAGGGACCATAGAAGTCTTCTGGTCCAATCTTCTCATTTTACAGATAAGCAGACTTAAACTCAGAGAGGTTAAATGACTAGCCATAGGTCACATCAGCAGTAAGTGGCAGAGCTGGGATTTGAAACCAAAGTCCTTTGATTTCAAATTTAGTACTTTTCTCACAGTACCAAGTAATTCAGTGATTGAAAAGAGCACTCTACTGACACCATACAGCATGATTCTCCTCTCCCCTACAAAGGACCTGAGTTAAAAAGAAGTTAAAAATTCACTAGTAATATTCCTTGGGTTTTAATGTCTTTTTTTCCCCAACCTATTCAGGGTGCTTGGTCCTGTTACAAAAATGACTCCATCAATACACTATATGATCCCCTGGTTATTTATGATGCCTGCTGTACCAATATAATTATTTAGAATAATGTTAATGGTGAACCTAACAAACATCAACAAACAGAAACATTTAAATATATAAAAAAAAGAACAAAAGGACTGTATAAGAAATTGTGAACTACTGTTGAGTAGAATTTGTTTTTAAGACTGTATATTTACCTTTAACAAAGTAGTGACAAAAATCCCTCTATTTGTATCCCTTTTTGTACTTTTTTGTTTTTTTCTGTACAATAAAACTGTTTTATTTATTTTCCTTTTCACTTATCTATCACAGCCCAATATACCCTCAGAATAGAAGTTGTAGGGACAACTTACAAGTAACTTATTTGTTACAAGGGTATAACAAATACTTATAATTCGAGAAAACAAACCAACATATTGACCACATCTGAGAATGTATATTTCAGTCCTAATTTCTCATCTATCATTTCTCTGGCAAGAGGTGGAAGATATGTTTCATCATCAACATTTGGAAGTTCAATGCTTTGATCAGAGTTTGAGGTCTTTCAAGACGGTTTTCCTTTACATTATTATTGTTATCATGCAAAATTCTGCTCATTTCACTCAGCATCACTTTGCACATTTTCTCATGTTTCTCTGAATCTGTCATATATGTCATCTCAGGGTGCAATAACATTCCATGACACTTACAGTTCACATTCCACAACTGATAAGCCTCATTCTGTTTCTATTCAGCTACAAAACAACCAAAAAAACCCCCCCAAAATGACTAATACAAAGTATTTCCTCTATGGATTCTACTCAAATTCTGACAAGTAGAATAAATCCAGATAATAAATTGTATGGATGGGTTTCAGTCTGTATCCTTGGAAAGAATACAGACTACTAGAGAGATTGTAGATTGATGGCTTATACTGGAAAGTAGCATGATTCTACTGGAGAAAGAAAAGGCAAGCCACCCCAGTATCTGTGCCAAGAAAACTCCATGGACAATATGGTCCATGGGGGTCACAAAGAGTCAGACATAACTGGACAACTGAACAACAACAAAGCATGATTCTACTTCTCATTCTAGTTTTTTATTTAAACAAACATTTATTGAATGCCTGCTACATGCAAGACACCATGCTAGGTGTTAAAAAAGGGACAAAGATGACAAGGACAGAGTTTCTACCTTCAAGAAGCTTACAGCCTAGGAGGAAAGAAAAGATGTATACACATATTAAGAGCTAGAACGCGAGCAAAGTGCTCTAAGAGTGGTATAAACAAAGTGCTAAGAGAGAACAGATGAAGGAAAGGTCACTTCCAGTTGTAATAATTGTGATTATAGGAGGTACGTAAGGGGAGGTAACATTCTGGATCTTGAATAATAGGTGTAATTTCAATAGGCAAAGACAGAGGCAGTTAGGTGGCTCAGTAGATAGAATGCCAGACCCACAGTCAGGAAAACTCATCTTTCTGAGTTCAAATCTAGTCTCAGACACTTACTAGCCATGTGATGGGCAAGTCCCTTAACCCTGTTTTGCATCAATTTCCTTATCTGTAAAATGATCTGGAGAAGGAAATGGTGCATCACTCTAGTATCTTTGTCAAGGAAACCCCAAAAAGGGTCATGAAGAGTCAGACAGGACTGAACAACAATAGCAAAAGATAAAAGAAGAAGAATGAGAAGGAAAACATGGACAGGGTATATTTGGGTTATAATAAGTGGTCCAAATGGGGCTAGAATGTAGAAAGAGACTAGAATGGTAGGTGGAGCTATAACACAAAAGGCTGGGTTATAGATTTTAGACTTTATTTGGAAGGAGAAAGGGGATCCATTGATAACTTTTAATCTAGAAAGTGATACGGGCAAATGGTGCCTTACATATAACAGGCATTCAATAATGTTAGTTGGAAGGAATCAAATTGCACTGGGTAGACTGAATTGAGTTGAGTTGAACTGATTTGTAATGTGATGATAAAATGCAGGATCAATTAAAGTGGGAAAGGACTGAGGCCAAAGAGCTGAATTTGACTAGAATGATATTGCATAAATAGAGCCAAAGTATAAATGTATTTCCCTTCTCTTGTTAGCTATACAAGCATCCTCACTGTTTACATTTTTTTCCCTTTGGAGATCACTTTCACGCACTACATTTTTTTTGTCTAGTGTCAGTTAGACTTTGCTGACCAGAGCCACACAAAGAGGAAAAAACCCATCCCTCTAAGATGCATTCTCAGAAATATATTACCTAAGATAAGTTATAAGTATTTTTAAAATTAATTTGGTTTAAGCAAAAAAAAAGTGAGGAACTTTAAATTTATTTTTTGGTAGGCTTAATTACATAGCTTTACGTCTTTCCTTCTTTCAGCAAATTCTAACCCAGATTAACCAGACCAAGTCTTTTTTTCTTTTTTAAAATCTCTTCTATGAGCTTATAATTCCACAGCCCAGGTGTATGTCTGAATGACCCTAGAATGTAAATATGGGAACTATTGGAGTCTCCCATCTGCCTTATTTGGGAGGAAGAATTTTGAATTTTACTTTTGCATAAGGGAAGGTTTTTGCCTTTGCAGAGTGGCCTTTAAACACTCATAACTTGCAAAAAGCAACTTTGACCCCTAGGAAACTCATTATTGGTCAGAAATGAATTCAAATATTTTCAAATATATACTAGTTTTAAAAAAAGGTTTTTTGGCTACTCTCCTCAATAGCTAATAAATAATAGCAGTACATCCCTTAGGCACCTCTCTCGCCCTCTAATGAGTAAGTCCCATTGATTCAGCCAAACAAGTGACTTATTGGGGGCACAATTGGGCATTATTGCTCAAAAATAAACCCATCAGTCTCTAGGGTGATATCTCAGCTGTTTCATCTGCCCCCAAAGCTGAGAGTTTTCTTGCACTAGAAACTTAAGAGCTATTTGTCATTGTGAGCTCTTTCCTCATTCCCTTACTTTCTTCAACTACAAAGAGAAACATTTCAGCATAATTTTGCTGGAGGGCCATGCTCCCTATCATTTAGCCTGGGACTCCTGGTTTCTTTTTCAGGTCTCCCCTTGCCTCAGGAAACAGAACCTAGCAGTAAGTTTCCTCAGTTTTTTGGTAAGGTTTGTTGAGAAGAACTTTAGGGCCTCAAACATAAAAGCTTACTGGGGCCGGGTTGGGCAGGGCAGGGCAGGGCAGACTGCATAGTAGAGAGAGCTGAATCCCTAGAAGACTACTTTCCTACATCTGGTTAATATTAAAGGAGTTTGGGTCTTTGATTGAGGTCACTCTACATTAAAGGGAAATTTGTGGCATTTGCTTTCAAGTTTTATCCGCATCCCAAAGCACCTATCTTCACCTGTTCTCAATCACAGGCTATTCCCCAGAAGAGAAACAGCAATTATAAAAAAAACTATTTTGAAGTTTACTAACCATACTTAGGTTTTCTTCTTACTCTTCTTGGAAGTTCTCAGAGCTCAAGCTGGGAATGAGATGATTTGAAAAGACCTTCTGGGAAAATGGTGAAAAGAGAGAAAGGGGCAGATTAGCTCAAAGATTTTTTTCCTATATGTGGGGGGACATAACAGGTGCTGAATAACCACTTGTCCAAATAAAGTTAATTAAATCCTAAGGTTAAGAAAACTAGACCAAATGGTTGCTCTTAAGGAATCTTGCTAGATAACCAAAATACTAGTTGTGTATAATCATATTATGTTTTCTACTATTATTATTACCTGAAAATTATCATCTTTTTCATGGAGTTCAGATAGAATCAGTCTTTAGACAAGTCAATATCCTTCTATTATTTCTTAATATTTTGTACTCTGCATAGGCAGGTAAGACAACTGCTTGAATGAAAGTACTAGGAGGTAAGTCTGTCTTTTATAGGCTCACTGTAAGTATCCTCAGTAACAACTCCAGCACTATTCAGGACAAGGGGATGAGGAACTACCTTATCCTGTTCCCATATGATTATTATTTCCTCTGCTAAGTCTCCAAATTTTGAAGGCTTTTCATGACATGTAGCTTAAAGATTACGAGTATTTGATATAGTGACCTCTATTGAAAACATTGTTTTAAAATTTTTCTGGATCTCTGTTATATCTGGGCTAGTACAGGCAATAGTTTGTTCTGCAATAATCCTCTGGTTCCAGAATAATTTATTAGTTTAGTTCTCAAGCATATTTTGAAATCTGCATTTAAAGCAGAGGACTTGTTACTACCACTTCACAAAAGAAAACTTCTAAACACAGAATAATTCTATCTCCCACTCCTCTCTTACTAGGTATTTCACAGACAATAAATTTTTGCAGTCTGTAGTTTCTATTGATTTTTTCCCAATTCACATTTGTCACTAAGTATGGACTCCTTGATGATAATCCTTTTGTAATTTCTGGTAGTGATGACCTGGTCCTGAAATGCCATCACAGATACCATCAATGCCATCGCATTTGCCTCCATTTCCACAAAAAAATCCAGGTGACAGCCATTCTTTTCACAGTATGCCTCTTTGTTAACATGTGGTCAGTGAAGTTCATGTGAATGTGGTCTCTGGAGGGGCTTTTGATTTCACTCTTAGATCTCAGTAGCCATCTCATGGCTTCCAAATGGAGGTAAATGGGTTTTTTTAGGGCAATTGGGGTTAAGTGACTTGACCAGGGTCACACAGCTAGTAAGTGTCAAGTGTTTGGTCTGAGGCTGGATTTTGAACTCAGGTCCTCCTGACTTCAGGGCTGGTGCTCTATCCACTGTGCCACCTAGCTGCCCCCTAAACTACTTTCATACACATTTGACAAATCCAGTGATGTATATCTGTTGCCAGACTTTACTACTGCTCAGTGAAGTAGTCTGGTTGTTCTAGAAATATTTCTGTAAGTTTTAAAGCTGTTTATCATGTCCTCTGAGAACGTCTATCAATCCTGTTTCCTCCTTTTTGACTGAAGAAATGTTGATCTTTCTATACCCGTCCTATGGTTATGGATTCTGTTTCATTAATATTATATAGATTTTCGTTAGAATACTTTCCAAAGCAGCTATGGCTAACTTTTCAGTTCGGAAAGTACACATTGAAATTGGTATTGAATAGGTATAAACTGCTAAAAAGTTTCTTTGCATTATGCTTTGATCTCAAGATACCAACAAGTTTCTAAATATAGTAAGCTCCAGCTTTCTCCTTGATAGCTTTATGCTCAAAGTATCTTGCCAGGGGAAGACCAATATATTTCTGAGAATTATTTTCTTCCATTGATTCAATTTTAATTGAGATGTTCAAACTAAAACTTTCAGTCTCTGTCTTTTCTTGGTGTATGATAAGAATCTCAGACTTATGTAGCCAAAATAGTATTTTTATATTATTAAAAAAAGATTCCATGAGCTGGAGAGCTGTTGAATGCTTTTAATGAAGCCATATAACCTGCTGTCATCAATGCACACAGCAAATGATTAATGAGATATATATATTTTTTGTTCTACTCCCTTTTTAACTTGGAAGTCATATTTAGTTCTACTTAGGTAAGATGTTATTAGATTAAGACTAGGCAGAACCATAATAGCCTTAAACTTTCTCCTCTGAAAAATCCTACAATTATGCCAATTGTTCTTGACATTGTTTTGGCAATATTTTTAAGAGAATTTTTCCCCCCAATGTGGTCAGATCTATTTTACTTATTTACAGAAGACATGAGTGCAAAACTGAGTAAAAGGTTTGGTAATAATCAATAAGGGTAGTAAAAATATTACCATGCTTTTGGTAGGCTTGTTCAATCACCAAATCAATAATAAATTATTCTCTATACCCCTGGATATCCTGAGATCAACAGAATACTCTATTTTTGCTGTTCAGCCAATGTACTGTTTTCTTCTTGAATGTTTATCACATTTTTTTCTGATTCAAATTTTAACTGCTTCATTTAAAGCATATAATCTCACAATAGGCCTATATTTGGAGATGTCTCTAGTATTCCCATCTGTTGGTAACAGATGGCTCTTGCTAAAGATAGAATCGGACTTACTTCTAAAAGAAAGCTGGTAAAATGCTTTTCTAGTAATGTATACATCAATATAAAGCTAATAATTATGGGTTTTGTACGGCCTTACCATGTTTCAGTTAAGTTATTAATCTCTTACATTAACAATGATTTAATGTTGATAATTTATTCACAGCAACCCTGTGAAGTAGGTAGTGCATATATAATTATCCATGTTTTACAGATGAAGGAACTGAGGGGTCAGGAAAATGAAGTGATATGCTCTGGGTGATACAATTAATAATTTCTGGAGCGATATCACTGGAACTCACGCTTTCTGACTTCAAAGAACTGAGCAGAGATGATCCATTGCTACGAAATTCCCAAGGGGTCCTCTGGTGATGGGAGGAGGTATGGTAAGAAGCTCAGGATAGCCCTTAACCATTACTTGTTTCTAAGTGCTCCCCTGTCTTTTTGTTTAAGCATAACTTAGAACTGGAAATATTTGGATGCACTTCTGACCAGTGATGGACATGCCCCTATATATCTCATTAAGATGCATAACCAGGTACCCTTCCAGCAACTGAAGAAGAGTCCTTTCTGAAGATTTGTGGCCTGTTGCTCCTTCTTAGACCATGTTCCCTATGCTGTGGGGTGAAGTTGAACTCCCCACGAGCCCTTTTCATGAAATGAAGGAAGATTTCTCACATGAGAAGCTGTTTATACTTTGATCTCAATTCTTTTAATTTTTAATTCCCCTCCCTTCCTTAAATCACTTTGTATTTACTTTGTATCTGTCTTTTATTTATTTGCAGACATAGTATATAATCCTCAATAACTTGAGAGCAGAGATTCTAGCTTTTGCATTTATGCATCTTATATAAGAATCCAGCACGGTTCCTAGTACATCAAGGGTGATTAATAGATGTTTGTTGACTGAATTATCTGGGGATTTCATGAATTTGGGTACTATCTCCATTGATGAAGATCAAAGCCCTGTCATGATTTTTTTATCCTGTACAAATCTTATCCAACTTCTGGGGGTGGGGGGTGGGTCAAAAGGATGGGCATTTCTTGTTGTTTTTATATCTCAACAACACCAATGTAGCAGTCAGGCTGTACATATGTTGTCACTCATTCTTGCTTCCCAATCAACCCACAATCTTTTCCATTCATCAATGATGTCTCTTACTTCACTTGCATAAAAACAAGGAGGCTGAAAGATACTACCTTAGATCTGTGCATATTATGGAAAAAGTTAGTAAATAAATGGATTCCCACATTGGATGGGAGGTTCAATTACAAGACCCCTAAGATTCCTTACAACTCCAAGTTTTTGCAGTTCTATGATTCTAAAGAAATACAATCAGTATAACTGATAATCATAATATAATCATATAATATAATCAGTAAAACTTGGCAAAGACTGCCAAAGGTATTTAAATCGAGAAGTTTACTAAGGAAAGACAGTTTAAATACAAAGCCAGAAGTTGAATGAAATTGAGGAAACAGGGGGCACCTAGGTGGCATAGTGGATAGAAGAACATTGCCCGAAGTCAGGAGGACCTGAGCTCAAATCCAGCCTCAGACCAAACACTTGACAATTACTAGCTGTGTGACCCTGAGCAAGTCACTTAACCTCAAATGCCTCAAAAAAGAAAAAAAAAAGAAATTGAGGAAGCAGCTGAAAAACCTAAAACTTTGATCCTGGAGACAATTTCAGCAGAAATTTTTTAAACTGACTTGAGAGAGCTGGAGAGAAAACAGGGAGACCAGCAAGGAACAAGGTAGAGTACAAAAGTGCCTCGATTTTAACAAACCCTGTATATGAATATCAGGTTTTACAAAACATCCTAATTAGGGGCCAAGGATCCATTTTATAACAGGTCTTAACTTTAGAGTTGCCCGAACCATAGTTATTGACATAAATGCTCCCTCTTTACCTGGAGAACCAAAGATTGAAAGCCATCCCACAAAATCACTGGCTGTGCCCACAGACAAAACGCATACAAAAACTTGTCAACTTGTCAAAAAGTCTTTGCACTAATAAGTGTCTAACCTGTAGCTGGATGCCAGGGAACTGAAAACATACTAGAGTCCTTTGTTTGGGGAATGAGCTGTAGAAGACAGCAATTTGTGAAAGACTTGATACGAAAAGTCAGGGTGAACAAAGGGACTTTGTCTAGATTTCGGCTGAAGTAACGACCACCATTTGACCCTAGTCAATAGAATTAAATGACTCACCTTCCCAGATAAGTAATGGCATGAACTCATTTAGGTGAACTCCTAGGACAGACACCATTCCAGCAGTTTCTGTCGGCTTAGAAGGATAACCTGGTCAGAGAGAAATAAACCATGTCTTCTCCTGGCTACGAACGTCAGCATTCAAGATTCTTAGAGCAAAACTCAGCAGAGACAGAGACTCAGCGGGGAGAGTACTCTTACGATGGCCTAATATCCCTCCAGTTCTCTCACAACCTCAACATTTCCTGTATAGAAAAAGGGAGTACAGAGTCATCCTATAGCTACACAAGTCACATTTTAGA